GTACATTTCCAATTTATAATTTTTAAAAACCAAAATATTGAATTTTTTAATTACATTTCAATCAATGCTTTGAAAATATTTCTTTTTTATTTTCAGAGGAATGTGGTCCAAATGAATTCCTTTGCAGTTCCGACCGCAATGAGTGTATTCCTTTTAGCAGAGTTTGTGATTTTGAACCCGACTGCCTCGGTGGAGAGGATGAGAGAAACTGCGGTAAGCAATTTTATCTAACTTTTCGAAAAAAAATTGCAATCTCAACCAAAACATGAATTTATATATAAAAAAATAAATAAATTCAGTTACATACATCACGATCATGACAAGGAGCACAAAAAGGGGATGCTTACTCCTCCACTAATATTTTTAGAGGTCCGTTTTTCCTCTGGTCATTATTTGCACTGTTTCAATAGACCTTTGACCTTGATCACTGGATCATTATCTTCATATTTCATTTAAAACATGTTTAGTTAAATGAGTGAAAAAATGTCATGTGGGAAAAATTTTAAGGAATCACCTGTAGATTCTCTGTGAGATATTGATGTCTTCATCATTTTCAGAGTGAAACCAAAAAAATGGCGTTGTTTCGATGTTTTAAAAACCGGTGATAGTTAAATTTTCTATTGTTAAACGATGTTTTTTTTTTATTTTAGACCTCAAAAGCCTAGAAGCCCTCTGCAGACAAGGACCAATATCAGAAAGTATAAATAAAACGGTGCCCTCTAACGAAACTGAAAACTGCACAGTAAATGAAGATGGGAGACTCTTCGCTTTTCGTTTGAATATCTGTTATGATGGCGAAAAGTGTGAAAACTGCTTGTCAAATCAATGTTTCCTCTCCTGCCCTATGAACTGTTCCTGCTCTGGTCTCTCTTTTACTTGCTCTTCCCAAAGTGCTCCCAGCTTCGCCACTTCTATCACTCTTACAGGTCTTACACAAGATAAAGTGATATTTGATGAATTTTATTCAAATCTACAAGCAATTGAAATACATCACTGTAAAATTAACAAGTTAAATATCTCTATTTCAGTGAATATAGAACACCTGGTTATAAGTCATAGTAACATTAATTTTGCACTCATTGACGACAAAAATAATAATCTAAGAATTGTACGCATTGAAAATAGTACATTTCAAAACATTAGTTTCTCGGTCTTGTATAATTTTGATCATAGGTTTGAATTCTATGTTTATAAAAGCTCAGAAGAATTTGTAAACGATAGTGTGATTCCTCGGATACTAGGTGTTCATGTAAACATGTCAGAAGCCGTTGGATTTCCTTATATCATCCAACGATTTTATCATACTGTCGTCAATTTTAGTTTTTGTAATTTAACTTTTCAACCAGAATCATTCTTTAGAACACTTACATTAGACTTAAGTCATAACTTCCTTACTAACTGGCATTTGTTATCGTTCATTCAGATTTTATATCTACAACATAATTTAATTGAAGCAGTGAATTTCACTTCTGATTTCAGTGCATCTGAAGCTCGTTTACAGTATCTCGATCTCTCTAATAATAAAATTTATGTAATCAAAGAAGACGACTTTGTAGATTTTCGAAATCTCATTTTCCTCAAAATTGGAAATAATCGTTTAGTTGAGGTTCATGAAGAAGCTTTTTCAGTCCTTACAAAACTGATTCATTTAGATTTATCAAATAATAACCTTCTTTACCTTAAACGCAATCATTTTCTTTACCTTTCAAATTTACAGTACCTTTATATTCATAATAACAATGTCAAGGTGGTAGAGGGAATGTTTGATGGTCTGATAAATATTCAATATCTGCAGGTAGATTCCTACACTCTTTGTTGTGCCCAGCCAAAGGCTGTGAGCAAAATGCATTGTTCTGCACCTGTTAATGAAATATCTTCTTGCTATAATTTAATTGACACACCACTTCTAGGTGTCATCATTTGGTACATAGCCTTTCTGGCTGTGTTTGGAAACTTTCTAGGGCTGGTTTATCGAGCTCTTGTGTTGAAGTCAAAATCAATCAATTCTTTCGACTTATATTCAATAAATCTAGGATTTGCCGACCTTCTGATGGGAATCTATCTCTACATCATCGCAGGTGCCAATTTGTCTTTCAGTGGTCGATATGGTTTCGAGGATGATATTTGGAGACATGGGAATCTTTGTACCTTTTCAGGTGTTTTAGCGACTCTTTCAAGCGAGGCCTCTGCATTGCTTGTTCTTTTGATCACTATAGACAGAATTATCGCCGTCAGGTTTCCATTTTCTGTACTAGAGAATAGAGTATGGGTCGCAAAACTCACATCAGGTTTAGTTTGGATGATTTCCCTCTTTCTGTCTTTGTTGCCATTATTTGGAAGTGAGTACTTCAAATTATTACACAAATTCCGGAATATGCATATCATTGCCACTATCTGTTCTCCGTAAACCTGGTTGGGAATACTCAGTGGGGATATTTGTCGGAGCCAATTTTCTAATTTTTACTGCAATTCTTGTTGGGCAATTTATAGTCTTTATTGATGTTGTTCGAATGGGAAAAAATCTAAAATCTACATGTACCGCTCAAAGGAAGAGAGAAATAGATTTGGCAAAAACGTTAATTGCTGTTGCAGTTACCGATATGTTCTGCTGGATACCAGTCGGAGTAATTGGTGAGTATATTTCACTTTTGAATTAAATGAATGTTAACATGTTTTGTTATGAATTTAATACATTTTGTGAACTGTTTATGAACATTTTCATTACCGAGGGCACTTATTGTAAGAAAAAAGTTCTACATCTTTCACTGATTCAAGGGCTGCACATTGAAGATTGCGATAGGAATCATGCATGGGCATTTGAAAGGCATTGATGGTTTTTAAAAGACAACTAGAAGTAATACAATCCATTTATTGTGGAACATTGTAGGTCTATTGACGTTTATGGGCAATGATGTTACCTCTAAGGTATATGCTTGGGTCATTGTCGTGGTTCTACCAATAAATTCGGCGCTGAATCCTATCATATACACATTTTCGGCTATTTTGAGACGCAGAGGACAAGAGGTATGTTACACAAATATTTCATAAAGTAATTTAGAATAACTAGCTCTAGATCTAAAGGTTACTCTTCGCCTGTTTTATAATGATTGTCATATTTCTTTCAATTATTTAGAGCATGTCACAAAGAAGCAGTTTTTCGAGAACGATGGTAAATAAATTTAATGAAAACATCTCTGGTAAAATCATCTCTGATCTATTTTTATCTATATGATTCAAATAATAAGTTAAATTTCGGTTATAATTATATCGTCTTAATGAATATTGATGAAATTTTTTCTTTGATAAAGTTTTCACGAAAAATTGAAAGAGAAGGGTCACGTCAGTGTAATGAAAACCAAATAAATCAGACGACAACACTAAAGGGACTTGGCATTCGAACGCTCTCAGATACAAATGCTTCCAAAATAAAAAGACAATAACTTATAGCTTATTGCAGCTGATAAACTGAAAAGAGTGAAACTTTCGCATCAATATACATGTATTAATAATGTCATTTTTGAACTAAGAATATTTTTTGATGTCAATTCATTAGTACTGGACAGTTCATATTAAAATGTTCTATGACTAGTATGACTTCTAAACACAAGTCATTGACATTGTTAGGAATTCTGAACTAGAAAAATAAAGTTCCTGGATTTATAAAGTCTTTATGTCATCCATCATCAACCGGAAGAACTGTGCATGGGCAAAGACCTCAGGGTTAATTTAACCGAAAATCGAAAAATGTGCACTGGTATTTTCTCTCATCATTTGTGAGAAAGATGAATGCAGAATATGATTTCAAGATGAACGTCGTGTTCGGTTGGATGCCTCATAAGTCGCCTTCATACTTACGTTTATGTGTATACGTAACGCGAAATTTGCTGGTTTGTTTTTCCCATCCATCTTCTTAGATATGTCTATCGTAAATTTAGTCAATTTGAAGTGTACAATTGGTCATGTGGATGCGAGTAAGGAAATATAGCAAACTTTAAGACCTTGCCTGGCCCCATTGACCTTGCCTCAAATTTGACCTCTGTAACAATTATGTAATTTGATATAAGATCCAAAACATCTTTGCTTAACAATTAAAATTCTACAGTGTGGTTCTTGAAGGGGAGTCAAGGTAAGAGTTCACACGAGAAACTTGGGCTGTTACAGTTTTTGCACAGAAAGCCTATATTTTAAAATAGTTTCATGCCACAATTTTTGGGTGCGAAGCACCGCTTGCATTGTGAGCTCTAACAACAACACCTGAGTGAAGAGAAAATTCAAACTACTGCATATTTATTAAAAAGAATCTTTCTCGCAGTTGACATCAGCACCCACAATGCACCACATATAAACTCTTTTTCCATAACTGCAATAGTTCTCTCTACGCTTGATCAAACTCTGAGAACAATGAAATAAAATTGGGTGAAAGTCAAAATCTAAAATAATGTAGCATAAACTTAAATAAAAATAATTGTAAAAATGAAAATGCATCAAGATGAACAACAGTTGTGATAACTAATTTAGAATATATACAAAGCCTTTATTGCTCATTTTGAAAGCATTTTTGTTGTCATTTTCCGATTTCAAGCGTGAAACAAACATATTTACCCCCATACCCCACACACATACACACCCCCACTCACCCAAACATTAAAGACTGTAGTTCATACTGAAACATAATTTTTCCACAAAATATTATACAAGAGGAAAGTTACTTAAAAATGCAAAAAGTCCCTGTTTCTTAAAAGATATCAAGATTTACGATACATCATTATTACTTGATTATTCAATTATCATTGGCTATCTCTCGTCCAATTTTATGCATTTTTAAATCAATTTGGCACTCTTATTTTGTAAACAATATTTGGATTCACACCTGAAAAGTGTAATATGAAACTGTACTACATGTATATTCATGTGAATAAAAAGACAGTCTATTAGTCATTTTTTTCCTTAAAATTTATTCATGGAAAAAAGTTCTTTTTTAAATTTTAATAATACTTTCATCATAATATGATTACCTTGCACCAACTTTAAGATTAAGTTTTGTTATTCATATTTCATTCATTATTATGTGTTATTTGATAGCAATTTTACACCTTGTTCTCTAGAAGATAACACGTCATCAAAATTTACTTTTTCAAAATCATCAGCTTCCTTAATCATCGGCGATAAACTGAATTCTGTTGATTGTAATTTCTCGTCCTTTGATTCTCTCCATATAGAGGCTAGCAATGAAAATCCAGAAGCTAACAACACAAATAACCCTGAAAAAAATAATATATAAAATCATAAGTACATTTTTATGAACTGAATTGCATTGTTTTTCACATAAAAAAAATATGTTCAAAATGCCTCCGTAAGTAAATGCTACATATGAAAAGGGCATGCTTTTTATTTCTATGAGAAAATTTTTTTTCTAAGTGAAGCAAACTAGAAGAGAAAAAGATATTATTGGGATACTATTGTTTTACCTGATAAGATATAGGAGTACTTGTATGATCCTGTCACATCAAGAACAAGACCTAAAATCAGATAGATCTTGAAAATGAGAAGGAAATTTGCGTATTCCTTTCTGTATTCTTAGTGCCAACTTCTGGGATTTTTTTAAAAATGAAATTGCCATGCCAAATACCTGCTATAGGTGGACCCGTGAGAGACCCAAGTCCCAATAGGAAAAACCACAATCCAACTGCAGATGTCAATCTGTCTGTTCCCGCCATTTCTAAGCAGAGAGGCACAGTAAACACAAGCAATCCTCCGCTGTAAATTCCATATAACGATGCAAATATCAATGGACCAAAGGAAAATGTTATATACAGAGGAAAAGTTATTATCAAGGTACCCACAAAAGCTGTTAATCCAAAATTGAGAAGAAGTGGATCCAGACCTTCTGGACCGATGGCAAGCCCTATGGTTAATCTTGAGACTATCGTTCCAATTCCAATCACAGTAAACATAAAAGACGCTTGCTCTCTTGAGGAACCAGTGTGTACAACATAACTTGGTAAATGAATCATGATTATTGCATATGATATATTCCATAATATTGCTCCAATTAGAACACACATATACGATGGTGAATGCAATAGGCTGATATATGTTTTGAAATGTTTATGTCTGTTTGTATTTTGAGCAGCTTTCCGCTCTTTTACTTGAGAGTAATTCAAAAGCAGGGCACAAGGTAAGACATGAGAGGCAATACCAGCGGAGAGTAGAAAAGTCCCTCGAAGACCATATGTATTTAAGAGGTGTTGGGTGATTGGTCCACTGACCAACATTCCCACCCCAATAGCAGAGGTAGTTATTCCCATAGCGATCCCACTATGTTTGGGAAAGGCATATCCAATGGCAACTGGACAAGGAAGCACTGTTAGCCCAATTCCAATGCCTAAAAAATATCTTTAAAATGATGAATTATCCTTATATGTTATATACTGAAAGTACTATTGAGGAAGAGACATATTTCTGATACAAAAACATAATTCTCAAAAATAAATTTCATTGAAATTAAAAATCTCAATCCAAATTTTAAAAAAAAGGTTTTGTGTTCAAAATTACAATTAAAAAAGTGAACTTCATTTGTAATGAAGGTTAATCTGATGATGCAATGAGGGACTCAGAAAAAAAACGTTTTTTATAGTATGCAAGGGGTAAAAAATGCAATAACATTTACATTGTGGTCTTTCTATCCCAATATCCTTTATCTATATTTTTAAATTGGTTTTTTTTTACATAAATACATAAAATCTTGTTAGCGAGAGATTTGAAATATGTAATATAACTTTTACAAGAAAAGACAAGAGGCCCAAGGGCCTTAACGGTCACCTGAGTACAATACAACAATTTAGAGGATCCATAAACTGATAAATGAAGCCTTGTTGCCCAAAAGCGAGAAAAATGGTATGATTATCATCAACAAAATAATTGGTCTAGTATCTATCTGCCCCCCCCCCATTTATCACTATTCCCATGCAGACTATTAACAAAATGTCTATTATTTAACCCCATATTATTACTTCTCACAATGGCCTCTCTTGGCCTTTGAAGAACATTTAAAAAGATAAGTTATTTTTGTCTCATTTTCATTCATCTATTATTTCCAAGTCATTAAAACTATGAAAGTACTTTTTTCATTATACAATAAATTTTCTTGCATAATTCTCTTATTCTATTAAGCTTTCAAATACATTATTTACATTGATTAATTATCAAAGGTGAATGGCAAAAGGGAATAACTTTGCTCAGCAGAATGCAAGTTAATAGAGCCCTGGCCAGGACCAGAACATTCGACTAAATGGTCTAGGTGTTCAAAACTCTGGTAAAAATACCCTTGCATATTAAACTTTTACTCTGTTTGCCTTGAACATCCCCAGAAGCATAAAAGATTTTCAAAGAAATGCATTTTCACCATATTATTAAATAAATAAAGCCCCATCCTTACACCAGAACACCTGATCCATTGGCCACGAACTCACAATTCTGGAAGAAGCAGCCTTTCTCATCATAACTATACACTTGTTTCTTTACTTTATAACCAGTAGTAGAAAAAATATTTTGAAAGAAATTATGCATTTTCAATATATAATCAATAGAGCTCCCCCCACCCCTCACCAGAACCCCTGATCCAGGGGCCATGAATTTCACAATTTTGGAAGAGGCATTCTTCCTTATCATAAACATGCACTTCCTTTGTGTTGAAAATTACCCAGGAGCAGAGAAGATGATTTTGAAAGAATTCATGCCTTTTCCCTATATAATCAATAGAGCCCCGCCCCAGACCCAGGGGCCATGAAATTCATAATTTCTGAGGAGTCAGCCATGCTCATCATAACTATGTACTTAGTTTATTTAATATCCAGGAGCAGAGAAGAAGATTTTCAAAGAATTAATACAATTTTACTATATAATCAATAGAGCCCAGCCCTAACACCAGAACCCCTGACCCAAGGGCCATGAAATTCACAATTTCTGAAAAGGCAGCCATGCTTACCATAACTATGTTCTTAGTTAGTTTATTTAATACCCAGGAGCAGAGAAAAAGATTTTCAAAGAATTAATGCATGTTCACTATATAATCAATAGAGCCCTGCCCTAACACCAGAACCCCTGACCCTGGGGCCATGAATTTCACAATTTTGGAAGAGGCACTCATGCTCTTTATAACTATGTACTTAGATAGTTTATTTAATACCCAGGAGCAGAGAAGATTTTCAAAGAAATAATGCACTTTCACTATATGATCTATATAGCCCCATCCTAGCACCAGAACCCCTGACCCTGGGGCCATAAATTTCACAATTTTGGTAGAGGGCTCAATACTTATTACAATCATGCCAACAGTTTGACTGCTTGATGTCCAGGAGTAAAGGAGAAGATTTTTAAAGATTGCATTATTTTTGGTGGTTTTAGCCCCATCCCTCAGGCCCCAGGGGGGCAGGGATCATGAAATTCACAATTTTTGTTTCCCTTTACCCATAGATGCTGTATGCCAAATTTGGTTGAAATTGGTTAAGCGGTTTCAGAGAAGAAGCTAAAAATGTTCAAATGTTAACACACGACGCACGAAGCACACCGCACGACGCACGCCGACGGACGAGAACGGATAGCAATAAGTCACCTGAGTGACTCAGGTGACCTAAAAAGACAAAACTTAAATTTGACTTTTGGGTACAAATACTCAAGATTTATTTTTTTCAAAGATTTCAAAGTTAGCCCCCAAATAATATTGTTTCGGATAGACAAATAGACTGACGAACAAATCAACAGCTTTGAAAAAATCAATATATCCTCTCTCCATTTGGGGGCAAAACTACGATTAATGTGTATTACTCAATTATTAAAGGTCGGAGGTTTGGAGTCATAAGATTCTTCAGACTATCAATATTGCGAGCTGGTTGTTAGCATGTATGCCTTTCAAAAATGATTTTATTTAGAAGTTTTATTTTTGAAAGTGTTATAATCTTTAGACGAAATGGATTCGATTATTCGAAAAATTATAACAGTACTTCTTTTTCATTGCCTCAATTTTCATTTGCGAGATACCTTCAGAATACAGAATATTGAGGATAACTTTTACTCAAAAAATAATTAACACAGATGGGAATTAAAAACCACATGTAGTGCATTTAGACCTATGAACGTGTTGCTACTTTTTACTTTTAAATAATTGAGGCAATGCCCAACTTTCTAAGTACTTAATAGAAAGCAGTTTCTTTCATCTAAAATCGTCATCCTCAGCTTTCTATAAGTGACTATTGAAAATAGAATTAATGCTTGAAGGTTACCTGCAATTATTCCGTTCGTTACCATCAACATCCAAAAGGATTCTGCAAAGAATGATGCGCCAAGTCCAAAGACAAGCAAGATCCCTCCTAATGCGGAAGTGACTCTACAGCCCCATCTGTTGATGAAATAACTCGCCAAGGGTCCTTCATTTAAAGCACAATTCTCTTCAATTCGTACTTCTGTACATTTTCTTTAACTGTGCATAATGTTATGTAGTAGTACTACATTACTATATACAAAATTTTGTAGATGCTTTGTAAAGAGATATTTATGGAAAAAGTTTAATATAGTTAGTAAATTACCATAAAGCTGAAATGTTTATCGAACTAAGCTCTTGCATACCAGATTAATTGTTCGCGATTTTTCAAGATGATAAAAATCAGATTTCATTAGCACCATAATTTGAATGTAATACTGATGAAACATAGTGGTGTCACAGAAGTATATATACTGTAAATATAGAATGCTTCAGTTTAATTTGATTGCATTAAAATATATCTAAAGATTACTTAGCGTACCTGTAATACTCATCAGATTGATGAACAGAGACCCAACGACTGAGGTACTGGCATCGTCTTTTTTATAAACATCAAGAAGCGCCAAGTGTATAATACCAACTCCATAGATCAGTAAGGATAACAAAAACTGGATCCCAAACACAACTATCAAGGTTACAATTGCCTGACGTGTGTACACAGACTTCATTGTGCCTTAAAATTGTGATGAAAATAAAACATTTTGTTATGCAAATATTTATACCTTGATAATTTTGACCAAAGAAAAAGAAAGAAATCGATAAATGAGTGAATGTCTGCTAAATATTTCTATGTATTTAGTAGACTTTCAATACATTATCCATTTCTCTTCTTCTTCTTTGGTCAGAATTATTAAGTATAAATAGATATCCTACTACATCTTTTGTTTTTAACTTTTAAATCCCCACCGGATCATGATGTTATTTATTATCAGTTAAAGCAGAGACCTATATATTAGTATATAGGTCTCTGGTTAAAGCTTGCTTTTAAAGATATTTTTAGAAAACAATTCTTCAATAGAGCGTGAAGCTAATAATTTTACCGGACTCTTTGTATTTTCTTTACGTTTCAGCGACATAATGAAGTTAGATATGCACATTTTATGGACGACGTTAAGCGGAAACCGAGGCCTATTCCGGAAACCAGAGACAATACTTGTAATACGTATTTAACATTTAAAAAATTATCCTTCAATCTAAAGCTCCACGTGCATGTACTGCACTCTTTTTTCCATTGTTAACGTGTATCACAGCATCCCCACGTAAATGCAAATACTATGAAAATCTATTCAACCAATCGACAATTTTTGTATTCTTTTTGGTAAGACTAGACTATTCAAAGATATAGTAGTTTTTGCATTTTTTATCTATAATCGAGTAGACTAGAGTACCATGATTATAAACATATAGTTGATACCTTGCCGGTGTAACGACGAAAAGTGACCCCCGTAGAATATTGACCGGGGGTCATTTTTCTACGGAAAAATTGGACCCCCCGGTCAATATTCTACGGGGGTCACTCTTCGTCGTTACACCGGCTGTGATCGTGTATGCAGCCGTTCACTTGATACCATCAGCATCTGTTATGTTTAGTCACATGGTCTCTTTAATAATAAGAAAGAGAAAATAAATCTTACCGAGTGAAAAGGGTCGTCACTGATGACATTAGTAAGGCCTCAAACAGATTTCCATTTTCATCTCTATAAATGAAAGTTTTTGGTCAGAGAGTCCATGATAGAAGACAAGTGTATAAATACGAAAAAAAAACTCCCGGTTGTTTACATCAGAAGTGTTGTGATGAGAACTAAATAGACAGGCGTTACGCGATTGGCTGAATTCAGGTATGAAATTACTGAAATTGTAAAGCAGAATCTTTAGTGTTTGAAATAATTGATGATGAGGGGATTTTTGCAGAAAATATAGAAATGTCAGGGATGATTATAGAAGAGGGGTTATCTTTAGATACAGAGTCGAACATTTGCTATTGATTACTGTTATGTTGTAAATAACTGGCTTTAGAAATGCCATGGGTCTCTATCTTTATAAGAGCTTTGAATAAATTTTAAAATGATGCAAGCAATTTGTTTGAAATTGTCATGTTAAAGAACTGCATGAGAGGTTTAAGGTTTGTAAAGCGCTCTATGGAAAATTGGTTGGTACTTTTTTCTTTTATTCTGTATTAGTTTGTATCTTTAAATATATTTTTGCTTACGTTGAATAGTAGCAAATTTCTGCCTGTAATTGCAAGTTAATTTTTTACTGATATATGTCAACATACAATTTTATTAATAATGTAAAATTCAAAGTAATCTTAATATACAACATAAGATCGTAAATATTTACTTTTTAAATGCTCTTATTGATGTTAACATGAAACCTAAATATGTCGACATGCAATGATTATCTGATGACCTGTAAGATAATAATGTCAGCGTACAACTTTTTTCAAAGTTTTATCAACTGGTCTCAGAGTTGTGTCAACTGTAGGAAAATGCTTTTTTTAAAACTGATTGATATATTGCATCAGTAAAAGACGTAAAGGATACAAATAAGTGCATTTCATACTTAGAATATGCCTTTACTTACATGAATTTCAACTATTCAGAGTTGATGCATTTACAATATCAAACACATTTTGAAATATTTTCAAACGTTTAGTGATGGTATTATGATGCGTATTTCTACCCCATGTATACCATAGATTATATTATGTCGACGTGCCAGATAGATGTGTCAACATGTAGCATAAATATATCATTATGCAACACAACTATTTTGACATGCAAGATTGATTAATTGATTGTACGTTGTTAACGTCCCTTCGAGAATTTTTCACTCATACAGAGTGTGCCTGTGAAGTTGCAGGGCGCTTAGGGATAAAACAGTCACTGCCTATGTTAACTCTTAGATTTGACGCGGCTCGGCTATCGAGAATTGAACCCAGGTCTCCCGATCACGGATATACAAGAAAGATGTGATCAAATATTATTCGGAAAATTTTCAAAAAACATCAAATTTAGCCTAAATGATACTTGCAACTTGTTGATGTTGACATGTACATTATTGTATGTTGTAATGAAAAGGGTACTAACGATCGATAACAGATAACAATGATAGATCTCAAAAAAAAATTACAAAAAATACAAATCAGTGAACAGGGCATAAAACACGGACCTCCGGAAATTCCAGAGGTGCCTAGGAGGAGTAAGTATTCCTTGTTGACCGGTCACACATGCCTTGAGCCCTATGTATTGATCAGGTAGACGGAAAAATACCGTAGTCAAATTTTAGTATAAAAACAAAAGGCAAACAATGGGTATGAAATACGTCAGCCAAAACACGACCCAATATATCTGTTAGCACGGTCATTATAACGACCACTGAATTTACAAAATGTTGACTTTAAACGAGGTTATTGAAATCTCTGTAACAGCAACTTATCTGTCGGTAGCTTGCCTCCGTTTAAAACTTTATCGTACTCAGAGCAAAATTTTGAGTATCGAATAAGTTTGGAGACGTAAACACCATATGAAGGTTGTGGCGGAATATTACTACATAAATAAGGAAAGTTGACAATAGAAAAGCTGAAGTCATCTCGTCTGTGATACAATTTAGTCGTTAGATGGCTCTTATTTATTTTATAGTCGGTAAAATAACCAAATATGAAACTGATGTGGCAGACTCTATGGTATATTTTATTTCAAATTCACTTGGACACATCGAGTCGAAATATGAATGGAAGTAACTATTGTTAATTGATAAAAGATCGTCGATATACATCTATCTGAATGTCGAGTTGAAGGCCACATCAAGTGTTTTCTTCTTCTCATTTAGAAGTTTTTGAATAAATTCTGCTTCATAAGAATATAAAAACAAGTCGGCTAATAAAGGAGCACAGTAAAAGCCAATTGGATTCCAACAATTTGTTGGAAGACATGGTCTCCAAAGACTAAATGTAGTAATTGTGTTAACTCCAGCATTCTTTAATATCAACTTCAGAGTATTTTTGCGTAGAATCAGAGTGTTTTTTCAGAAAGTAATTTTGTTGATGACCAATCGCAAGATACGAAAATTTCCGAGTTCCATTTTTATTAAAGAAGCAGTTTACTATGATATCAAAAAGCTAGTTTTTAATTTATCATGGGGAATGGTTGTACATGTATGAATTGTAGAAAAGTCGTACATTTTGATGCTATCAACTTTAGAAATATGATGATTTTAATTTTTTTTAAAAAAGGTCTTTTAGAGTTTTTGAGAATCCTCATCTGATTTACTCCACTTCTAGAATATGCTATTGCACAGTAACGTATTTATTTTTAACGTGCAACTAATTTATGTTGACATTCAACTTATATTGACTTGTACAGTTACAGACGTAGCCTTCTAAACATGAATTGTAGGTATTTTGTTTAGTAAAATAACTTGCATGTAGAGGGTAGGAATATGCCACCAAATGTTCTGACCCAAAATGATTGGAACCTTAGAATGCTTGGGATGTTCAAATAACTATCTTTTCAACAGCTATGTTGCATGTCAACTTTTGTAAGTAGACATTTGCGGTAAAGTGAAGCTCGATAAGAAAGTAGAGGTTCATGATATTTAAACTATGGATTCGGAGGATTTTTAGTCTCGAATATGCGGGGAAAACTTCATGCCTATATGTAGTCGCACCTCAATCTAAATATAAGAAATACATGTACAACAAACTGGATAAATGTATGTGTCTCCTCAAATTGAAAATACATTGATAAAAATAAATTGCATGTTACCATAATGTTTTAGCATGTCGACATAACTGAAATACACTTGGCAAATAAAACATACCTTCACAATTTATAATTAGTCCCCTACCGGTGAAACCGGAGGGGACTATAGGTTTCCTCCGAGTCTGTCCGTCCGTCCGTCTGTCTGTCTGTCCGTCTAGCTGTGCCTCTGTCTGTCTGTCAGTCTGTCCCATTTGGTTTTCCACACTTTCTTTCTAAACGCTTGCAGATATTGAGCTGATTTTTGGTATGTGAGTATATCTAAATGAGTTACAGATCAAGTTTGTATTTCGTTTCGCTTCATTGATTTTTGACGGAATTGTGGCATTTTCAATTTTTCAGGGTTCACCACATTTTTTTTCTAAACGCTTGCATATATTGAGCTGATTTTTGGTATGTGACTCTACCTTGATGAGTTATAGATCAAGTTTGCATTTCATTTCACTTCATTGATTTTTGACAGAATAATGCCATTTTCAACTTTTAACGGGAACCAGATTACACTTGCCGGTAGGGGACTAGTATTGCTAATGCAATACTCTCAGAGTGCTTGTTTTATGTGTGTTCATTATCTACTTTGCATGCTAACGTTACTACTACAGTGTACGATGACATCTTGCTTGATTACATATATGTGCAAATAGACGGCAGAAATAGGTCGAATGCATTTTATTCTAATTTGGACCTCTGGGCAAAATGGCTAGTGTGTAAAAACCAATTTTAAAATTATTTAATGCTTGGCACTAGCTCTCATCTGACGTTTCAATGTTTTCTCGTCCTCTTCCGAATTATCTAATGTTATTCCATTTTTGCTAAGTGACCAACAACTTAATGCAGCCTACTCATACACAAAACACAACAGACAATCCAAGTGAACAAACAGAATAAATTCAATTAAGTAAATTATTTTTTTTTTCTGAACCGAGATGAATTATCTAAAAAAAAAAATCATTGGTGAAAAAGTATTAATTTGTTTTCCTTTACAACTAAATTTTAAAGAGCTTACAAAAATTATACAAGAACTCTTAACTTGAACATTTAAGTAAAAAAATCTGTTGGATAGATGACACAAAAATAAGTTGGAATGCTAGATTACAATTATGTAAATTGGATCAATGTCAAGCAGAGAGTGAAAGGCTTACTAATGACTTACAGAATTCATGTCTCTTCTGAGCACATACTTTACATGTACATAACAATACATGCTACCCAAGGGATTTGAATCATACAGTAATAAATCATTCACGTACCTTAGTTACATGACGAGATGGCAAGATTTAAATCTAGGTCGTAAAGGCACTTAAACAACCTTATCGTATGTCATATGCTCTCGTCAACAAACAATCATCTTTTGTGTTTAAACGCTTACATCAATTCAACTAAAACGAGGTCAGTGGAATTTTAATCTTACAGTATAAGAAAACGGCACAATCCAAAATTTAATATACACTGATATATTATAACGAATTTTTATTAAACAATTAAATTTTCTTATTGAGCCAATGCATTTTTAATCCTCTTTGCTTTATTTGTAAGGTTTGTAACATAAGCCGTTAACCCCCTGTAGTAGAGTGAACCTAAAGAATTACTGCATGCTTATAAAAGTATGCATGAGGAGGGCGATCACTTTTTTCTTAGAGACCAAATTTCACATTACATCGGTTTTCTAAAATCTTATCTTCCAAATAATTGATATACGCATACTAGGGTAATGACAAGCATAATAATGAAAAGCAATATATTTTTGGCTATGTTTGAATTTTCATGTAGTCGAATTGCTTCTAAAGTGAATAACTTGATATGAATTTATTTATATTTAATTAACAACATTTTTTCTCAAATTCCTTGGAAGAGCAAGACTGTTAAAAGAGTGGATATAGAGCATTTACATGTATATGCCTTGTGCAGTATACTGGAAAATATTCCACTTTTTCATTCCTTCCATTCCTTATCATGTTATCAACCAAATATTTTGTCATGGATTACGGAATTCAGTGTTGATGTGTTTACATGCCACTGAGCAGATAACACTGTGAAATAATGTCATACTATGCAGTACTTCATGAAAAGAGGAAAAGTCGATAAAAAATTATCCATGCGAAAATTTTTAAGTTTGATTTCATCTATTGATATATTCTAAGTCCATTGATTTACAAAAATTGTGTTCAAATGGCAGTTGATTTTAATAATTTTTGTAACTCCTGACCAGAAACCAATTCAAAAAGCAACAAAGGCAAGAACTGCATGACTTGGAAACAAGTACATATAAAATATTCACTCAGGCGCGGATCCAGGATTTTGTGTTAAGGGAGACGCTGTTAGGTGGGAAACTGGGAACCACCAGCGTCCTTAGTGGGTTTAGGACACCATCTGATGGGGTCATCCGGATGCGAGCCCCTCGTAAGCTTTTGAAATTCAGCAAACAGACAACCTTATTTTGACTCAAAATGAGTGTAATCTGATCTTTGGTGCATTGAAGTATGATAGTGAAAAAGCTGTATCCGAAATATTTTTCTTTGGTTTTAGCCGGGGCGCGCCTCGGGAGCGCGTCCCGCCTGAATCCGCTCCTGCAGAACTGTTTATAGTTTTACATCTTTTATGTATTTTGACTTTTTCAAAGGAGTGTTCTTAAACATTTGTAATATGCACGTTATCTGTAAGAATCTGAAAGAAGGTGAGCAGAGTAAAGTCGAGGAAAATATTCTCAATATTCTCATATTATCACAGGGAAACTTTGATTAAGACATCTTTTTTTAAGTTGATAAAATGCACACTGATAACGTTAAATCTTAAATTGTTACTTTTCGATTTTCAGTATCATTTTTTTTTTTCAGAAATTATTTTTGATATATAAACTTTTTTTTTTTGCTCAGGTACAGAAACGGTTTGTATTTGAAAATAAAAATCGAAATAATTGATTGAGATTTTTAAAGAAACTGTCAACTGTCACAATCACCCAAAGGAACAACTCTGATCTCCTGAATTTGTAGTGGTGTAAATTCGTTTAATTGATCCACATTGTGATCGGAATGTGCGAGTAGTTTTCTTCTGGACCTGGGTGTGAAATTTTCTAGTTCCAGCGCAGATGAATCCCCAACTGTTTTTGGGTATATAACATCATTCAATGTGTGTTTGTCAATAAACAGACTTTCAACACTGTTTTTACTAAGAACACTTTTGTTGGCAAAATCTTCAGAACTTTTATGCAATTGTTGTGTCTTTTCATTTTCAATAATAACGGTGAAAGAACCTGAAAAGTACGCTGATCCGGAAAGAAAACGGCTTTCCTTGAAGTCCACAAAGGAAGCTGTCTTTTCAACTTTATCCGTTACCTTGTGCCAGAGAGATGCACAGAGACTTACAAATGCACCTAGAACACATATTGCCCCTGTAAAGAATCGATGTAAGTATATGTAAAATTGTTTCCTTTCAATAAATATGAAGAAGAAAAACGTGTGTTTGTATATTTTTTGTAATTTTTTTCAGATACTTTGGATGCAGCATATCACTTATTAAATCACCAACTTAATTATAGAATTAAAAATTAAATCGCCCGTAGAAAGTCTACCCTTATGAGTACAATACAGTTTTTTTTCCTTCTAATTCTCAAAAATTTGCTACATGTAAACAACTAATTACCTGATATAAAAAACAAGCCTTCATATGAAACATCGTTATCAATTAAAAACCCTGTGAAAAGATAAACGAAAACATATAATTAAATTAATAAAGGAATTCATGCATTCGTTGTTTGTTTATCTTGTTCATTTTAAAAAGTATATCATAAATTAGGGGGGAAACAACTTAAACATTATATTTACCTGCAAATGGTCCTCCTAATATCCAAGCAATTCCTGCCCACGTAAAATATAATCCTACAGCTGTTGAGAGATGAGATATACCCACTATTTCTATACATAGTGGATTAATTAAGACAATAAGCCCTCCACTGTAAATCCCTGTTATAAGAGAGTAAATATTTTGGCCTATGTAGTTTGTACAATAAAGTGGAAAAGTAGCTGTTGTTAGACCAAATATTCCAAGAAATCCAAAGTTAAGAAGCAAAGGGTCTATTCCACCCGGCCCTAAAACCATTCCAGCCAGAAATCTGTTAAGGGTACTCCCGACTCCGATCATTGTGATCAGTGACGCTGCCTGCATATCTGTGGCACCATATACAACTGAAAACCGCGGAAGATGAATGAACAAAATGGCGTACGGGACATTCCACAGAAATGAACATGTCAAAATACAAAGAAAAGACTTGTTTCTAAGTATATCACAACGAAAGTTGCACATTTTCCTATTTTCTGAGGAGGTTTCATTGGAATGCTTGTACGACATTTCTATTTTCGTCGGCCTCATCAAAGCACCGAATACAATATTTTGACCTCCAAATGCTCCTAAGATGAGCAACGCTCCTCTAAGCCCATACTGATCAATCAGATATTGGATGAAAGGACCTGAGGCAAACATTCCTAAACCTGCACCTGCCACATTCAAACCAACAGCGATTCCACGATATTTTTCAAAGGAATATCCAACTACAATAACAGCTGTTATTCCGCTGAATCCAAGTCCAGTTCCTATGAAAAATAGAATTATTTAGTAATATATATGGTAGACAACACAGTCTCAGACTAATATTGAATAGCATATGAATACCCTACTAATAAGATTTGCTAATAGTTATTAAATTTCACCGTCTGTACAATTTACCATCAAATGTATTCAGACAAAACAAACTCGCTACAATCATTGAAACAAGTATTTTTAAAAGAAAAATAATAGTAAAAAACTTACATTTCATACCTGCAATAACTCCAAATGTGAATATTAAAGTAATTAGATTTGGAGCGAAGTAGCTTGAACAGAGTCCGAGAAATATACAAACTCCTGATATAATATCAGCTACTCTACAGCTCCATTTATTGATGACAAAACTCACTATAGGCCCTGTAAATGAATTTCTGTGGTTTAAAATCAATATACATGTAGATTTAACTGAAATACTCAATTGTATTTATCCTCTCTTTTACTCTTTTCAAATGTTACCTAAAAGGCTTAGCAGACTAGCAAAAATAGATCCCACTAGTGACGTCATTGTTAAGTCTCCTTGAAATTCATTCAGAAATGCGTTATGAAACACTCCAACGCCGTAACTCAGCACTCCGGTTACGAACTGAGTGCTGAATGCCGCCATCATAACCACCCAGGCCCATCCGCCATCAACATCCTGCATCTGAAATTATTTTTTCATTAAAGTTTTGATTTATACTGGGGGGAAGTAACTTCGTGTTTGAAAGAGGGGATAGGAATGAGTCGCTGAGACTATATCGATAATAAAAATCATACTACAGTATACTTTAGCAATCTATAACTTTTTAATCAAAGTACAAAAGTTTTTTTTCACAGTATAACACGAAGGTCGTTCAGAAAGTTACATGTATGTCCTTGGTGCAATATTAGTAAAGGGCCATGAAATCATTTATAATTCTTTATTTCATTCTTTTGAAGTAGTTATTCACTTTTGCAGACGGGAAATCCAGTCCTGAATTATTTTTCTATACTCTTCTTTAGACACACCCTTCATAAACCCTTCATAAAGTGATATAATGCAAACCTAGTTGATGCTCTACACTGACTGTTTTAGTCAGGTATACCCTTCTTTAGACACACCCTATATAAGCCCTTCATAAACTGATATATTGCGCATCAGGTTGATACTCTACAGTCAGAGGTATAGATCTGGAGAGTAAGCAGCTTGAGGGATTACAATAACCTCTCTTTACTGAGAAAATTATTTGACTTATTGGCTGAGGCATTATCATGCAACAAGAGAAGACAACTGATACCAGCTTTTCAACGTCTTGTTTTGCACAGCTGTTAAAGTTTCTTGTACATTATTAAAATCTCTTTTCGGCTTGATGAGAAAAGCACCCAAGTTTTTTCTCTTGTTACTTTATCTGAGAATACTCGATTCTTTCTCTTTACAAATAATGTAATATTTTCTTCGTACATGTAACACGGTTAGCTCTCTGCTTCTCATTCAGTAAATGCATAAATCTTTCTGTAACTAAAATCTTCAGATGATAAGAATTTTATGAACTGCTCCCATTGATATCCCTACTATGTCCTAGGTCGTTAGAGGTGTAGTTTACCTCTTTTTTCTTCCAAATCCTTTAGTTTCAGTATGTTTTTGGTGGCACTGACACTTTTTGGTCTCCCATATCATTCTTCGTCTTTAACACTTTCTCAACCATTTTTGATTTTTTTCAAACACCTAAAAATTACTCTATATGACAATTCTTGGTTTCAATATACATTGTGTGCTTCTTCGAGTGTTCCTGTTGCTGAATTCTTAAGTTACATTGCAAGTACAGGCTTTTATATAGACTCATATTAAAATCACTGTACTCACTTTCTTCCCAGTGATAAAATAACGGAGTGTCACATGTACGTTTAGGGTGTTTTCAAAACTTTGTAAAACTTCAAAAAACCTAAAGCGATCCTTTCTCTACAAGGACTATGCGGCAGATGACAAATTCATTTAGCTGTTTCATGTCCGTTTGAAGTTATCTTCACTGAAGTTTTTGTGGATAAATGGAAAGGTCAAAACGTTTTGAATGACCCTTTTTAATCAAAATTCCATATTATTCAATATAGTAAATCAAAGTTTCATTATACGTATTTACTCATTATTAATTTTAATGTTTTTTGATATTTTCTAAACTAAGATTAACATTGTTTAACTGTAGTTTACTTTAATAAACGAATGCTCAATAATAGTTTACTACATTGTATGGTCAACAACCGTTCCATAACTGTAATTTTGTGTCCTATTTATATTTAGTATTATTCAGAATTACAATTTGTATATAGTGTTTTTTTCTCTTATTGAGAAAATTCAACCCGAGGTAATTTCAAGAAGAGTCAAATTTCTTATCCTTGAAAATGATTATTTCTTTGACTTACTTTTAACTTTTAGCTGCTAATACGAACATCTGAAGAAAGGTTCCCCACTTGTTAGATGTATTCGTTTTTCTGGAATAAATTCATCAGATTTAGTACTGTCGATATATATATATATATATATATATATATATATATATATATATATATATATATATATATATATATATATATATATATATATATATATATATATATATATATATATATATCATTCTCACTCAATTATTACTGATGAACAAACTAAGACCGCTGCCTGCAAAATGGATATCAATGACTTCAGTATCGGTGAAATTGTAATGTCTTCGAGAAAAAGTTATAAAAAGTGAAACTCCTCAGTTGTAATGTACAAAGTTATCTATTCTAGTTTCGACAGGGATCGTCATTTCAACGAAATTGAAATTTCTTTGAGGAAATATGTAAAAATAATTTGAAGTACCAGTTATTTGGTCCTCTTTTGAAGAAAGTTTTGAAATAATTGTTAGTGCGTAGAGAGTTCTCTATCTCACACTGATTTTTTTTTTTTTTCAAGGAAAATATTTCTGGATTTGAATTTTAATTCAAAAGTACATTGCATACAAATTTGAATATACTTAGACAAGATGAAGACTTAAAAAAAAAAGTACAACACTCTTCTTGCCACAAAGTTCAAGGCCTCTTTATTTGAAAAAATATCCCTTAATTCCATCTAAAAATATGTGTTGATATTTTGTTTTATTTAGTAAGATTAAGATTTGCTTTGTAATTTTGCAAATATTTTTTTTTAATAATAAATTTTTAAAAATCAAGAATATCAAAAATGTATTTGTAACAGCCGCAAAAGAGAGGTGTAAAATAAACTTCAATCATAACATCTTCTGAACGGCAATGTCTTTCTTACAAAAGCCAAGAAGTTTCATTCGAGATACAGTAAGAGATTCGAAATTCGAATTCCGAGATCTAAGAATTAAAAGCCGGATTTAAAATTCAATTACTCCCCATTGCTAAGTTTTGACTATCAAGAAATCGTTGTATATATTCAAAAGAAGCAAGTCTCTATATACATATATTGTTTTGTTTAACAGACAATGATAAGAATTTATGCATATTTCGCTCAACTAAACCTGTTATTGTATTGCATTGTTATTTAAAGGTGCTTGGACACAGATTTGAAGTTAATATTTTCTCAAATTTTCTGTATAATTTCATGACTTATATGTTGCTATAGCATATCATACTAAAATATAATAAAAATCTTATTTCATCTCGAAGTTATTAAAATTTCGAATTTCTGGACGCGTTGGATTGATGCATCCTTGCGCTTTCACATATTTTAATTTTATTCTTAATACTTAAGAAAAGTGGCAATTTTGTTGTGTATTAATGAAAAATATTAAAACTATTACCCAGATAATTCAGAGCAGAAATGTTCGAAAGCAAAACCCACTCACAGTATTGTAAGTCCGTCAGTGGTGTGTGCAGAGTTTAACAATTGAACACACCCGGTGAATCGTAAACATTAACAATAACAGAGCTCGTGCCCTGTTTACAAAAACAGTTTACGTTTCACGGGTGTGTTCAATTTGTTAAACTCTGTACACATCACAGAGCACGGACTTACAATACAGGTGAGTTGGTTTTGCTTTCTCACATTTCTACTCTGAATTTTCTGGATTATAGACGTAACATTTTTCATTAATACAAAACAAAATCGCTTCTTTTCTTAAATATTAAAGATAAAGTTAAAATTTGTGTAAGTGCAAAGATGTGTTAATCAAACGCGTCCCGGAATTCGTAGTTCCAATAATTTCCAGATAAAATAAGTTTTTAATTATATTTTCTTGTGAAATGCTATTGCAATATATAAGTCGTGATATTATACAGAAAATTTGAGAAAATATTAAGTTAAATCTGTGTCTAAGCACTTTAATCAACGACTTGTTCGTTATAAATATACCCAACCATTTCTTGATAGTCAAAACCTAGCAATGGGGGATAATCGAATCTTGAATCTGCCTCCTGTTAGGTTAACCTAGATCTTTAACCTTGAAACTCGAATTTTGAATCATATTTCTAATTCTGTACTTCGAATCTCGAATGTTCCTTCTGGGCTTTCGTATACTTTTTTGTTTTCAATACACGTACATATACACTGAACAAAACATGCATTGCCATTCACAAGCCTGAAATTTTACTTGAGACAGAATAAATAAATTTAATAAACTAGCTGTCGGAGTATTTCAAATCTCAAGCATAATCTCTAAATAATCTAGTGAAACACGCGGTTACTATGCCATGATAGTAAATATACATACTATTGTGTCATTGTATAAATGCTATATTCGGCATGCTTTTTATAGGCTATTTATATAAAACATTATCGGGAGTTGGAAACCACGGAATATGTTGAGTAGTATGTTTTAAATATTTTAAATGAACAAAATAACGATCTTACTATCATAATTTTCTCGGCCTCATCCATGTTTGTCCTCTGGGTTATAGATAAGTTGTTCTTTGCTACAAAACAATACACAACCTGCACCAAGCAATGCAAAGTTATGTAATTCGAAACGTGCTATCAATTTGTGACAAATTCCATTAGACATTATATTAGAATTTATTTGCTTTCCTACACTAGTGTAAATACTAGTATGTGTAATTCTATACCCCTCAAAAATCAATAAAGGCTATTATTTTAAGGTTGTCAGCTTGATTTAATAGGAAGGTAAGTTAACTTAGAGAATGTTCGGGAAAAAAGGTTTCGGGATCAGAATCCGTATTAAAATTCAATCGACAAAGCCAGTGAGTGAATCTGGTTCCCCGTGTTCATGTTATACAGAACCTAATCGGATCTCTATGAATTTGTCTCATCAGATCGCCTGAAGTAAATATTTTTTTGATAAATTTCAATACCATAATCTAAATCAACACAAACATCAACAACAAACGTATCTAGTAGGACATGCATGTATGTCTTCAGTGAAGTTCAGAAGATGATTAAAAATCAACTTACTCCTCAGATAAGAAAAGCGAAAAGCTTAATTTCAATGGGAGGGATCAAAACCTTCGAGGCTCTGATCGGTGGCGGATGTTGCCCCATCTTTGACACTGTTTAGATTTGAAATACGCATGCTGTTTATTATACATATTTTTGTACAATGTGTAACCTCATTGCATAATATTGTAATTTTCAGATTTTATGATGGTTTTTGCTATTAAATAATGTGTTTAACTGTGTTTGGTAATGCCAATTTTACTATGTATTGACATATTTTAGTTGCTTCGTAATTCATTTATTAATAAATGACCACTTTAATTCCAATTTCTGTGTCAAACCTAGCACCACCATATCAGGTATCCATAAAGCTATATTCCAAGGCTCCTAAACTTTCAAAAATCGGTAAATTTAGAAAGTAAACATGCCTCATTAAAAGACCAGTCTCTTTACCTAGAAAATGGCCAAATCGGAAGAGGAGATTCGGGAATTCATTTTCCTCATCCATGTATTGGTGCCTTTATAAACTCATACACGTATATTCGTGAAACAGTATTTTGATTCAATTATTTGTTCCCTCAGTATTTTTTAATTAAAAGCATAATAACATCATTTTCTTCTAAAGCATAACCAGCTTTTTTGTAAGGAAAGTTAGATGTCATTGCAAAAGACTTCTCAAGGAACGTCTATACATTGCACAGTAAAGAGTTCTAATTCAATGGTATTTTTAAGCAGTTAGAGTGATCTTAGATCTAAAGCTCTAGAGCATTTTACTCTACTTGTAATCAATTTAAACATTTTTAACATTTTATTATGCCAGATCAAATTAAATAAACAATTTATTTGCAGGTATTTTGCATGTAATTTTCCTCACCTCAATAAGCAATAGTGTGGTCTTTGAAAATAAATGGCATGTTTCATATGTTGAAAATAAAATACATGGACTCAGAATTCAAAACTTTATTTGGAATAATTTTTCAATGTCCAAAAAACATTATTTTCATTAGTGTTTAGAGGGTCCTTGAATATAGAATTAGGAAACAAGGTTGGTAAAAGTTTAAGGTATGTCATTTGTTAGCTTTTAAGATTAAAAAGTTTTTTCAGAACCTTTCTTAAAATTATCAATAATTCCTTTTTATTTCTATATTTGAATTAAACAATGAAAATTTACAATATTCAATTTAAATATTGCTTCCAAAATCGATAAGAAATAAGATTTATGGGGGATTATTTCTTGTGGTGGAAGGATGTTTAGAAGAAAATTCTCAAAATCTACGCTTTTTTCATGCAATATCTTGGAACTTTGGTCCTATATATTTTTATTCAGAGAATTTTTAACATTATTATTCAAAGGTATATTCATAATAGTAGCAAAGAGGTAGGGCGCTCGGTTCGTGATCGGGAGGCCCGGGTTAGATTCTCGTTCGCTGCGCCGCGTCAAACCTAAGACATAAACATAGGCAGTGACTTTTCCTTCGCCAAGCGCCCAGCATTAGAAGTGAAAGTAACGGACGAGACTTAAAAACCGAGGTCCCGTGTCACGATGTGCGTTGACACGAGAAATAACCCTCACTGTTCAATGGCCCCGAATGCCGAGTATATGTATAAATTTGAAGCCCTTCACCGGCTACTGTGGCGTCTCTATATGAGTGAACAATTCTTGAATGGGACGGTAAACAACGTACAGTCAATCAATCAAGGTATATATTATTTAACGTAGATTTCAAATAATATTTTAAATTTATATACAAGTTTTACACATTTGTTTAATATATCCTGCCCAAAACTTGAAGAAATATTGAACATGTCAAGATAAAATTTACATCGTTTTTGCCTGAAAACTTCATATTTTGACCTATATCTCAAAATTAACAACACTTGATCCAACTTTTTATTTCAAGCCTTTTTGTTTGTTTGTTTGTTTATGGCAAGAGACTTTTAACTGATCAGCGCTTTATTAATAAAAAAAAAAAGCTTGATTTAAGAAAACAGTCATTGCCTGTTTAGATTTTAATACCCAAAATATGACATTTTCTTAGTGCTGAAAGGTCAAACAATAATTACCGCGCATTAAAATCATATTTATTTTTTGCCATGCTTACATTTTGTACAAATTATTGAGATTAAAGTGATTAACCTAAAAATGCAGTAATAACGTTTACGGCAGAAAAAAAAGCATAACTCGTGTAAGAGGGTTATGTGAAATTTATGATTGAAACCGTTATCCATGGAAAGACATTCCATTGTCTATATATATATATATATATATATATATATATATATATATATATATATATATATATATATATATATATATATATATATATATACTGTTGAATCATCATTGTTCGTTGGGGACCAATGTTCGTGGATTTCGTGGGTCACCCGTACCCACGAATTAACATCCCCACGAACGTTTTTTGCAAACATATTAATTCATTAAATCTTCCGTATAAACGAGTAACCCACGAAATTAAGTCCCCACGAACAAGTAAAATTTTGCTGGCCCACGAACATTGACCCCCACGAATTAAAATGATTCCACAGTATATATATATATATATATATATATATATATATATATATATATATATATATATATATATATATATATATATATATATATATATATCTTTCAGGCAGATGACTTTAAAATCTAGTACTAATTAGTTTAATGTTAATAAATGGATAATGGCAATGGGTTTTCATAAAGAACAAATATTTAGTGGATGTAAATATTGTAAAATTCAATATCGTTTTATCTACATTTGCAAGCTATAGATATAAACTGATAAACGATGAGAGAAAATACTGAGTATATATTTATGTAGTTTCAAAATACTAGTATGAAATGCATCAAGGCATTTTACAAAATTCATAATTATGTATCTGGAGGTAGTGGATGTACAGGTCATTGACATTAAAGTCGTGTTTCCTCATACACCAACAATATTTCCTTCGCAACTACTCGTATTTGTTGACTTGTAATTTACATCTCCATGTTCCTATTTCTAGGTTGGAGAGCATACTACGATTACATGACATTTCATGATATATACAATCCACGCAAATTTATTTTTACACGGTGATATTATATTTAAATTGAAGATCAATATTTTGCATTTGAGCAACTTTTTCAAGGCGGATTGAGTAGATTCTTTTAATAGACCATATAACAGAATCAATGCAGCATAAAATATTCGAAAATCTTGGGAAACTGAATTAGAGGCATATTTCTTATAGATGTTTGGTTTTGGTTTTTGTTGAGAATGAACGGAGTACAAAATCCGAATAGACTTTTTTTTTGCTACCCTAACTCTCGTTTTTGACATCAAAAACTTCTACAGGAAAAGAAGGTGTCTCTTGCTGTATCCTTCAATTCGACATCCTCGCTCAATGTTTGGAAGGTTGTGGGTTCAAATTCCGTCTGCGACTGACCTTAGTCGATAAAAAATGGGTAGAGACTGTTCCTTTACCAAGAGCTTGGCACTTTGACGTGAAAATTGCTGGTCTTTCGGATGAGATCTTAAAACCAGGCGCAAGGGCATATTTTACGAATAAACAATTTCTAAAACGAGGCAAGCTATTGACAAAAACGTTGACTATTAAAGGATATCATCAATCTCGTTTAAAGTCAACATTTCGCAAATCCTATGGTCGATAAAATGACTCTGTTAGCAAATATAAACTATCCTTAGTCGAGTGTTGACTGACGTTTTTCATACAAATTGTTAGGCCATTAATTTTACAACGAATTGTGTTTACCCGATCAGGACAAGGAGGACAAGGACTACATGTAACTGCAGGAGTGACCTATCGACAGGGGTTGTTTACTTCTCCATTCACCTGAACTCATTTCTGATGTTTTCAGAGGTCCATGTTTGCTCTGCTCAAGATTTGTATTTTTTCAAAGGACTTCGGAACTTGATTACTGTTAGTTATCTTTATATTTCATCTTTATGAATTAACCTATTTGTCTTTATTTCAACACAATGACCAATATGTATATATACCAAAATGGTTCAAAAGTTATGCAAGAAGCGTATTAAGAGACGTTTCAAGAACACTGAAATCGATTACTGGAAAAGATAATGTTGAATGAACACAACAAGTAAGTAACTAACGTCATACTGTACCCTGTGTATTTCACTGGTACTTACCTGACCGCTGTATATCATGAACAATGACTTATATTTCCGCCATGTATCAATTACAAAACATGCCGCATTTCATAGTTTATGTATCGATCAGGGTTTTGCAGCAACTGAAGAAGGTCGTATCCTTTAACTGTGTTGTTAGAATCGTTTTGTTTATAGTGAACCTGTTAATTAAACTGTTAAATGTTGGCAGTTATAGCTAGTTATGATAATGAGACTAACATGCTGAATTGCAAAAGTGTGTATTTAAATGCATGATCCGTTGTACTTTACACGATTTGAATTAAATGCACACTCGTTAGGACCAGATTATTTAAAGATAGTAATCAAAATATGTTTTACATTGTATTTAAGGAAGTGGGTCACATTTAAAGGGGAAAATATTAAATACGTCATCTGACATTATAACCTTCATCATTGTATCGTTATTATAATTTACATGGAAAGCTGTTGTTCATGTGTATGTTATCTGAGTCTCATTTTTCATTCTATAAATAAAATTTTAAAAATTGAATTCGTTCAATTAAAAAAATTATAAAGTGATATTAAGTTGTAAAATCAATTTGTTTCGTCAAGTTGATTGTTAATTGTTGATGTTAATGTTCATGATGCCTTCAAATTCATGGTCAGTCAACTTCAAAGTTATATCCATGCTTTTCCATACCTTCAACAATTGACACAAAGGACATATGACAAATGATAATGCATTTATCCTAATTATTTATTCAAGTATCTATACATTATTTTCCCGACTGGCCGTTTAGAAAATCTTTTTAAGAATATCAATGTTGTGATTTGCAAAATGATACTAGTATTCAAACTGTTCTTCATGTATATGTAATCTGAGTCTTTAAATATATTTCGTTTTATGAAGAAAATTATGAAGATTAATATATATATATATTTCATGTAGAATATACTAAAATAATTACTCTTTGAAAAACATTTCTCACGAACACTAAAAATGCTATTTCATTATAAACAGCAAGCAGTTAGAAATGTGTTTGGATGTGTATGTCCTCAAACTGTTTATTTGTCCCTAATGTTGGAACAGATGATCCTGAGTCCTATTTCTCTAAAAAAAACTCTGGAATCCATTGATCCTCACCTGATTCTGTTCAAAAAAAAAGAGATGCAGTATGAGGATCTTGCAGATCGTTTTTGCAATTTTTTTGATATTCTTAATTGATATATTTTTCAAAATTGCAAAATTTTGCAAAATTGAAGTTTTGATATTCTTAATTGGAGATATTTTTCAAGTTGGACAAGGAGAATGATAATTTACAATATATACGTGTTTAAGTAATGGGGATAAATGCATTGAAAAATGACAATGTTATCCTTTATGTTTTTATAATTAGATTTTCTTTCATTTATTCATGAATATAAAGGATTATGATAGAAATTTGTCTTGCCTGTTAAGCCTGAAATATAACTGAGCAATTTTTTTGCATCACATAAAAAAGCTTGTGTATCGATTGATTAGATTATAGACTTGTTGTTCTAGAGAATCAATAAATTACAGGATATATCGGAATTAAGATGATAATACTTGTCTTTATACAGAAAATCTATTAAGAATAATGTTCTCTGGTAATAATATGCTGTCAGTTTATGAACTGCTTTTACTGTATGGTTAACGAGATATGAAACATTTATCATTGATACAATATAAACGTAGGACAAAAAGGCGAGGAAAGAGTGTGTTATTTGTGCAATAATAATCAAACTGGAGATGAATTTCAATACTTATTACAATGGAATATGTCTAATATTCGGAAAGATTTTTTTGGTTTCAAAAATATTATGTACGTCCAAATTCTAAAATTCTGTACTCTGATGAGAAATACTATCCTGTATTTTTAAGAAAGCAGTGTATATTTATTACCAAAATTTATTGTATTTTCTGTTCTCCACAATGGAGATTTATTTAGCTCTGCTCTTAAAAATTTGTGTAAATATCTATATATGTATCTCTTGAACCATTTTTTGAGAGATAGAATAAATAGTTGATGTACATATCTATTATAATACGTGATAGCAAGAAATACAATTAAACATATTGATCAGGTTTGCTTGAATTTTAAATGTTATATTTCATAGATCTAACTTTTTAATAATCCATATCACATTTGATGAAGTTCGTTAAAAGTTTTTTATCAAATAACTAATAAATATCCTATAGATTTCTTTTTGTAAGTGAAGTATTTGAGTAGTGAAAATATGATTTTGTTATTTAAAAAAAAATTATAACATCCTTGCTTGAAAAATATTAACCACTTTCCAATACAACACATTATACATGACACTAGTTTAAAGTGAATTTTAATTACTTTTTTTCTGCTTTTCCATAAGCATGCAGTTGCGTCAAAGAGGCATAACTCAGTTGCTATTACAGCTATATTCAGGAACTATTTGAAGAAAAAATCATGAAAGGTTGTCTCCCTAGGTTAGTGTTCAACTGTTCCGTTGAGTAACTTGTACTCTTATGTAGAAAATATTACACAAATAACATAATTATTATGTTATACATGTTAGGTTACTATTTCTGTCGTTAAAAGCAAGGTATTTCTTGCAAATCAGAAAAGCTATAAGAACTAAAAAAAATGTCTCTTGCTGAAAGTAAAAAAAAACGGAATGTGCGGTTGAAAAATCTTTTTAATAAAATATTCCTTGTAGATACCACATCTTACATAAAGTTTATAAGGCTTGGAGAAACTCCTAACACTGAATGTCCATTTAATGTAGGTATTTGTTAAGTTCAGTATAATTTTCTTGACTCTATCAATGCGAGAATCTCTCAATTAATTTTTTTAATCATTAGCCTCAAATATAGGTATCTCAAAATTTAGGTTTAGTTTGATTTTCCTCTGTTTATTTTCTTACATAATTTTAACCTTCAGAAACAATTTAAATTAAATGAGCCCATTCATATGTAAATGTCATGGACTCATGGTATGGTGTTTCCTTCAGGAAAAACTCACCTCATTTTTTTTCTCTTTAATTACATATCTCCTACTTTCACATCAAAAATATCTTTCTGGCTTTTAATTTATACAAAATAACATTTCATTAAATACAAAGATAATAATGACAAAATTTTGGTGTAGAGTTCTTTTATTGATATGCATTGATCAGGACTTGTATTGACATGAAATCTGAGTACAATTGAACCATAAATCCTCCTGTATTGCAATATTTGAAGATTGAAGATTTTCATTACTTAAACTACATAATATGAAGTAATGCACTGATTCTTTTTATTAGGCAAATAAGAACAATTTTCCTTGAAATTAAACATTACTTGAACACTAATAAAGGCATAATAACATTATTTTAATTGGAATAATAAAGTTATAAATATTAAGCATTTAAATATTGTATAATTGACAAATATCTATAACAAGTTATATCTGATCCCAGTACCAATCGTGTAATTTCGGAGACTTTCCCCAGAAGTGTTTCTATGTAGGTTCCCAGTACCAATCAAGTAATATCAGAGACTTTTCCCCAGACATGGTTTTTATGCAGCTTTGTGAAACCTTTTTGTTTCATAAAATTTATTAGAATTAGAATCACATTTGTCAAAAATTTCACCCTTTTAATAAGTGATTTAAGGTCTTTATTGCTAACTATATTAATGACGTGTCCAGTAGGACTATCGTTGTAAGAAGAAGAAGAACAAGAACACGTAGAGATATTATGTTTCATATGCTTTTTTTATCTAGGGACTGTAAAGGGTTTTTTTTGTATAATTAAAACGTTTGAAAGCAATGGTCGATGAAAAATTGTAGGGAATACAGGGTGTGGACTTCAACTTGAAATATCTTGGAATACAAGACTGGACACTTTTTTTTTTTACTTTAGAAGCATATTTACAATGTACTACTAATAAGAAACTGACAGATTTCTTAATTCGTTCCAAGTAAGAATTAGCGGAAAAGCGTATGAAAATAATTTTCATCGAAATTTAAACTACATTGTACATGATTTCAATGCTCTATAAAAATTTTAACAATCAAGTAGCCTTTCATTTTAGTTTAATTTTTAATGAAAAGAATGATAACTATTATTATACACAATCAAATAAAAATAAATTAATTCGAAAAGGATATTATGTGCTCCTAATTTTATCTTTTTATAAATTTCATTTACCGAAAACGTTTTAGCTCAACAGAACAATAAAAAATTCAAGTAAGGTTTTCTTTTTCTGTTTTTCGTCTGTCTGCTTTCTTCCTGTAACTTTTTCGTATTTTTGACATTTTTTATGAACCACATGACCAATTTCAACCAAACTGACAAAGAGCAAAGTAAAGATAATCCAATTGTCAAAAGGTGAGAGCCATTCATCATCACAAAAGAGCCAGGGTAGCGGCACAACCGGAAAAAAAGTTTCTCATATAAATAAAACGGGAAAATATCTTTTAGAATATTTATGCTAAGAACAAAAATGCAACAATTAGTCAAATTCCCTTATAGCACCCTCATGCATGTAAGAATAATCATGAAAGTGTTCTTGAAAAGGGTTTAAACTTTGCTTAAGAACAGATTGTCCGAAAAGAAAGAAATTTTTACTCAGAAAGCATACTGAGAGACAAGATGTGGAGCTACAGTGTATACTTAAATTTGAAAGGCAGCGATAATATACTGTAAATAAAAATTAAGGTTTGAAATCATGCGCTTTAACTTGACAATAATAAAAATCCTTTATTTACAAGTACGACTCGGCTGTGGGCCACTCGTTACATAACCTACATTAAAGTATCCTGAATGCTTTCGAAATATATGAAATAATTAACTTAGCTGGAAACGGACAAAGACTAAAGCTTCTCAACAGAGCAGGGAGTCCCCTGTTGCTTCTTATGATAGCCGTACTAGTTCATCCTGATAGTTTACAGCTAACCCAGTAATTGGAAATTACATCCAATATGTTGATAATCGCATTCAATCGATAGAGAACCACAAAACAACTGGTGACTGAATACAGAAAATAGAGAAATCGTATTGTCGGACGCACGTCTGGGAAACGAACCCATTTTCTTGGACATATTGGAGAAGTTTCTTTGTCTAACAACAGGGTAATTAATTGATAACTTATCACCCATCTCCAGTGTCTTGCAGGCAGAAGAGGTCAGGCTAGATTTCAAACAATCGAAAGTAAAGGACAAAAATTGGAGATTAGCTTGCTCCGTCGCTGCTTTCGCTAGCCTACTTCAAAAATTAGTTACAATCTTGTGCTATTGATTTGCCTGTGTTCGTTTTTTAAGCCGCAGAGTCGTGGCCATAATGAATGATCTTGTGTTATAAACAACCGCGTGTGGTACATAGTTCACACTAAAACTCAATCAGTGTACTGCCTGTCTAAACAAAATATTGTTCTGTTTAGGCATCTTAGAAAAATCACCAGAGCAGACGGATCGCTTTTTGCCAAAAGGTAAGATGATAAATGGATGTACATTTCTTTTGCTTATGTCTTTATCAAAGAGGTATAATATGTTTGTATAGGTGAATTTGCCTCTAAGCGATGATAGATTTCTATATTCCTGAAAGTTTTAAGAATTATGTCTAACATTTTGCACGTGAAGAGAGTTGGCTGATGATCCAAGATGATGTCATATTCTGAGGGCATACCAGTATATTCTGGTTGAAAGAGGCTCTATTTATTTATATGATATAAATGATCATAGCCTAATTAACGACCTATTGTGAGAATTAACGTAAGGGAGCTCCCTTGATCAATAACAATAAAAAATGAATGAATTCTTTTACACTGTGGTAAATCAAAACGAAACTTGTGTTTTGTTTGTTTGTTTGTTTGTTGTTTTTTTTTTTTTTGTTTTTTGTTTTTTTTTTTTTTTTTTTTTTTTGTTGTTTGTTTGTTTTTTTTTTTTTTGTACGTTGTACCTTTGCTATGAAATCGTTACATTCTCATCCTAGATCTTACGCAAGCCTACGAATTAAAATAGTCAAAATGCATTTCTTTTAATTTCCGTTTGCTTGATATCCAGATAAATTTGAAATATTTATTGCAATCGTAAATTCTTGGCAGAGGTGATGCTTATGAATCATCCTTGTTACTCAAAATCGAGTGTGCGTTGCTTATATTTTTTTTAATAGAAAAAGATAACTATTACATAAGTTATAACAATCTGGAAAAGATGTTTTAATTATCTCTTTATAAAGTTTTCTTTTAAATTATTAAGTAAAAGATTTCAATCTTCTATTAGACATAAGCATGAATTGTAAAATGTGTTCTAAAGGATCAAGTGTTCAACAATGACTACCGAGTAGTTTAGAGTAATATTGTAAAGCTGGCATAGCTAAAAATGCAAAAAATGCTTTGGTACAACAAAGCACAAAAATCTCCCCCAAAATATCGACTTTGGGCTTATCTTTGTTCTCACATGAATCATTTTATGATCCTTTGTTGCATTACAATTTGGAATGTTTGACCATTCTACATCAAGCAGTTGAAATGTGTATAATCTTGGCACTGTTTATCCACGATAGAAAATATTATTGTCTGTAGCTTGCAAGGTTATTTTCTGCTTTGGATAAAACTGCCGATTATTCCTCGAGTCTTGATTCCGTACTCTGTTGTTTGCCTAAGAAGAATTAATATAAAATCAAAGTATGCACATACATACCAATAATTTTTCCGACAAATTGCACAAAACACTGTGTACAGGTGATTGTCGGTGTGCTTTGATATCTTAATTAGTGAAATCTAACAGGATAGTTTGTTTTTTTTTAATTAGACTTGAACTGAATGAGTCTTAATCACGCGATACTGTCTCCATGTTGTCAATTTATATACGTATAGTTTTTGTAATTGTATGGGGTGGTATGGGATTATTCTGGGAAATATATTTAAAGAATAAATGTCAGTTTCGTTGCCATTTGTTTTACGCGGTCAGCAGAGATATACAAAAAGACTATTAGACAAGTTTAAACTCTTCTTAATTTCTAGTCTTTAATTTAATTCTAAACAAACATTTTATTGCCATATTTTTTTAAAACCCGCACTTCGGGATTCTTAACCTCGTTTTTAATTGTTTCCGAAAATAACTATTTCTAAAATCTCTTTGATATATAAATCACTTTCCCTGTATTTATATCTTTTGTATTAAATATATTCCTTTCGTATATTTAAACAAACAATATGTGAAAAGGCAGAAAACAAAATGTGTGATTGTGTTTTATATTTATCAGAAAGGCGTATTGATTTCTAATGGAAAGAGCTTAATTACACTTTTAATCCCTTCTAACTCATGCAAAGAAAGTTGAATAGAAAAAAGTTGTCTTTTTATTATTATTATTATTATTTATAACCTTATTATAAAAGAAATTTGATGAACAATTTAAGTATCAGATATATTCAAAATCATCCTTACCACTGATTTCTTTAAATGATAATGCAAAGCTCTTAAATGATTGAACCATTGGAGATATATAAATTATTCTCTTTGAAGGATATCTAGTTTTCCATGTGTAATCTCTAATGTTCTTGCTTATGAAACGTTGATTCGGGGTAAAGGAGATCTGACAGATTTTATTTGTAAACGATGCTGAATAAAAGTAAATCACCTCACGAGTGCTTACTTGTGTCAACAGTATCACGAGAATAATATATACTTTCATTGCAGCTAGTCCCGATCGATGAATTAACAGAAGAAAAATTGTGGTATTTATTAGTAGCTGATAGTAGCTCAGTTTCCACAAAGATTTATATGCAAGTAATTTCTTGTGCCAAGGAAGCCTATTTGTTTTTCCAAAGTATCCAGTACAGCCTTCAAAAAAACACACGATTTTTTTTTACCACGAGATCTACCAGCATATAATATATGGTGTATCAATTGCTAAAAAACAATTTACCTAATCACGGCAATCATTGTTCAAATCTTCATTCAATTCTTCGTAAAAATCGTTCTTTTTAAGGAACACGGGAATAATTAGCATATTCCCTTTATATCTAAGTGATTAGCAGAACAAGATCGTATACAGAGCGTTAATTATGTATTTTGTGTTAATTAATCAACGCATTCCAGACATTTACTAGGTACTATAGCTGTTGTACGGTTACATATGCATGCATGTTCATAGCCATATCCCCTCACAAATACAAGAGTGAGTTTAATAGATATAGCTGTAACTTCAACGGTTTTTATTTATTACAAAATGAATGTGCTTATCACTTGAAAAAAACTCATGTTCATCTTGTTATCCGAATACTTTTTGTTTCAATGCATTCTATTTCATAAATCAAAGATTCATCGTTCTGACTTAATCGTCTGCAAATATTTTAATCATCACTAACAACATCTTTCTTTTTAGCTTGCTCCTATGCAAAATAACCTGATTAGATTTCTGACTTATGCTGCGAAAAATTAAAGTTGAATTTCATAATGATTACATTTTTTACCGATTTCTCAAAAAAAATGGAAATATGTAGACATTTTGAAAGGGTACAAGATTACTGGAATATCGATTTCAAATATCTTATTTCATAGACATCCTTATACTGGTATTGAATAGCTATAATATATCTGAGGGTCGACATGTTTTTGCCATCTGGCACAAGAATGCATTGTGCACAGCGCTGTCATTTTAACGCAGATTGCAGATTTTGTGCTTCACAAGTTAACAATCAGCATGGCATATTTTGTTTTTACATCAATAATGCTCTTGCAACCCAGATGTAAATATCTTTCCTGTTCGTATCGCCATCTGTTGCTATTTAACGTTATATTTTCCCTCGATAGAAAGCAGTCATATTTCAGTAGATTTCACAAGTCATAAGCAGTTTACTTCAACAAATATGATGTGATCTGGAAGCAAAGAGGAATATTAAGAGTTTTGCCATTATGGAAAGTTGTTTTATGTAAATCTGCCAAGAAACTGGTACCAAGTGTTCGAAATTATTTACGGGAGAGTTTTTTATTGTTCGACTGTCTGTGCTTGTTGTTTGAACATTTTATCATAACGTTGCAGAGATGTAGAGGAGCCCATGTGAAAAGTAAACCGGATGCGAACAAATCGAAGACAAGAAAACAAGAAAATATTTATAAAAAGGTAAGGAGATTTTGTAACATTAAATTATAAAGAAAGGTGAATTTTACAGAACTACAAAATATGGCGCTTTCATAATGTGAAAGAAACAGCGTCGCCCTTAGTTGTGAGTATATTTGCTCTTCGTGATCAGGGAACTATATTGATTTTTGAGATCTTCGTTGAATACCTTGATTTGTGTGTATTGATTAAATTTGCATCGTGACCTGCTTCAGCGGACGTAGAACTACATAATTGCTATTTCACATCATCTCGCTATCAGTGAAAATTTTGTCTCCAGAGTTCTATAAAAATGCATTGAATTCTAAAGTCATTAAGAATCGATAGCTTTTTTCTATCTAATTCCTTCTAGAATAAAAATTACATATAATTCAAACGTCAAAATGACAATCCGCAGCTCATGAAAATTTCCACAAATAGAAGAAAAGAAGAGATGCTTATTTTGAAGCATTAATTTTCAAATATAGACTTACAACCCAATTAAGAAACTATTAAATGCTCAACACTCTTTAAACATGTTAAAGGAAAAGAATTTCTCTAACCAACAACTAAATAGAAACATTTATGCGTCAATCACATATTTTAAAGAATAGTAAAGATTTGTTAAGAAAGCCTTGAGAATTCAATGAGAATAGCGCGTATCTTTTCGCGTGCCCGACCAGAATTATCCGAAGAATGGGGTACAGTTGCCAGCGATAACGAATCGATCTCATTGTATAGTTTTTAATATCTCTCTGATCGAATGAACATATTCATCAATTAACGTATTCACATAATAGATTGATCTAAGGTCGGTATCGATCTGTCTAAGTTTTCTAGACTTCCCAGTCTTATATTGGACGGCACTGATTTAATAACTGTTTAAAAGCCTGTTGTACAAAAAAGGGCGTGACTTTAGTTTTATACGTGATTTATATAAGAGATCTGGGATTAATTTGATTTTAACAAATCAACGCCTTTGACACAACAATGTATTGTCAGAAGTAGACTAAGTTCGATAGTTATATAGACAGTTCAGCTGTAGCCATTACAAATGATGATTGCCCCGGGTAAGGTAAGTTAATAATTACGGTGTAATACAATAGAAAATACATGTATTAAGGTTTAGAAATATCGAAGAAATACCCCGTAGTTTTCGTTCCTGATTTATATTCATAATTTTCACCCGTGAACAAATGGATAATTTAATTCCTACATATGTAGAGGCCTGATTTAATGTAATTTTCGTTTCTGAATTATAATTTGTAAAAATTGACAGATTTCACATGTGAACATATCTCTATTTTTATTCCCATGAAAGTTTTATTCAGTTTAATTTTCAATCCTGAGTTATACTTTTGGATAAACAATAATAATTGAAGGATTTTCCTTGTGAACAAATGACTATTTTTATTCTTAAAGAAGATTTGGTTCACTCTCTTACTTGTAATCTGATATCTTCTAAAAACAATTTGACTGTAGACGCAATGCGCTGAGGTTTAATCCCGAAAAGCTTTCAAACTTTTCAAATTTTAATTGAATTTAAATCAACCGAAAAAGAAAAAAAATTTAAAGACAACCGATCTAAAGAAGAATATCGACTCTTAACAAATCTCATAGGTTTTAACAGTAAAATGCTTAGTAAACACGTCGTTTATTTTCTTTTGGTTTAATGCAATCTCCGTGAAAAATGAGTAAATTATCTGTTTTTCAAAAATAGGGTTAAAGTACATTAATTCAGCTGTTTTCCTGAAGTTATGGCACTTAAACAATATATTTGATTGTTTTATAACTTTCAAAACATTACATCAAAAATAATAGATAGCAAAATCAAGATTTATAGCTAAAACTAACTTTGTATAAAATAAAAAAAAACATTGGTACTAGAAAGATATATATTTAGATGTCAAAACAAAAGGAACGGACACAAGTTTTTAAAACTTATAAGTCCTCCTCTTTTTGACAATTAATTACACAAAATAATGTTCAATAAATTAATTAACTGGAACCAATGGTCAAGAAGATCATCTGCTTACATTTTCTATGCAATTACAAAATTATGATTTGATGTAGTATGTACAAATAAGTCGAAATAAGATATAAACCCAAAAAACGACCATGTCTCTTTATAATCAATTGTACATTTGAAAATATGAATATCTACTATACGAAAATTGATTATTCTAAAAATAGCATTAATAAAGAAATTATAAGCGTCATCTATTTTTTTTTTCCAATTAAGCACAAAGGACTATCAGTAATAATACGCCTAAATAGATCTTTATTCAAAACACTATATATTATCTAATATATATTGAGGGCATTCATAATACACCTCTCTGTCCACCAATTTGTACAAGGAAAAATGAAGTATATAAAAGAAATCATTTTAGCATTTTAGCATTACGTGTATGTAAACTACGATTTTTTTTTCATTTCGTGTCATATTGTACATTGAAGGCCAACTAATAACTGAACTGTATGACAAACGGATTGATCGACCTCAGCTTTTCCATCTTGTATATAGCAATATTCCAGCATCACCCGTATATGGTGTTTATGTCTCAAAACTGATTCGATACGCAAGAGCAGTTTTTAAAGTAAGGCAAGCTACTGACAAAGAATTTGATGTTACAAGGATTTCAACAGTCCTCTTTTAAGTCACCTTTTCCAAAATTCTACGGACTTTATAATGACCTTGTTTAAAAATACAACATATCGTTGGGTCGTTTTATATATGTTTCATACCATTTGTAAGGTCATTGCTTTGTGTACAAAATTTACTAGGGAGTACTCCATCTACCTGATCAATATATAGGGCTCACGACAGGTTTGACCGGTCGACAGGGAATGCTTACTCCTGTAGGCAATTGATATCACTTCTTGTGTTTCCAGGGTTTCGGACTGTGTTTTTAGCTGTTCACGATTTGTTTTATTTACTGGATTTATGAGAGTATCACTATTCGTTACCTTCACATTTTACAAACTGATGAAAATATTTTCATTGAAAAACGCTCTACAGATGTTTGTTTTCTATTCTTTAAGCACAACAGTTAATACATTGTACAGATGAAAAATACTGTGATTGAAAAATTGTCAATCATGACCCTACATATATATCTCAATAAAATAGTTTCTTTTTTAAAATAGTTTATTTTCATAAATATTTTTCATACAAATATTTCATGAATATTTATTAACGGCAGGCATTGAAGTTGAATATAACCCTTGACGACAAATAAGTAAAACTCATAGAGCGACCATGCTTTTGTGAAACACAAAGCAGAATTTCTGTTCATTCCTACTTAAATTCATTTTTTTGTCCTGCTTATGCTCAGAATTCATTTTGATCTTGAGTTGACAAATTCGAAAAAAATTATTTTAATCAAAATAATTTCTCTTTCTCTCTATGAGGTACGAGATTTTGAATATTACAATTATAAAAATTTGAATTAATGATGGCTAAAAAGGAAAAAAAAATTATTAATATTCCAAGAAATTTTCTATCGACATTCTATCGACATTTACGCGATCCTACAGATCATATATTCTTTGAAATGTCAAAATTTCCTAAATTTTCAATTAGTATGACTTTATATATATTAGCTTATATATGTTAATTTCATGCGCTTATTAGTACTTTTTAGATCACTTAAGATGACGCTTGGCACATATGATCCATTCAAAATCTTGATTAACATTCAAACCAAGTTTAGCCTCAATATTTAACAAGGAAAATATAACAAATGACCAACGCAAGGAACACCCTGGATAAACTTTCGCCTTTTTTGTTTTTAAGAGTCATTTGTATCGATTTCTGCCTTTTTCACATCGAAAAAGCTGATCCATAATATTTGATTCTCACGTCATTGTATTAGCTTAACGAGCATTTTTCTTCCGTGGATGATTATCGTTTTGGTTAACCTTGCCAAACATCGACCAAGTAGTAAATGGTTTGAGGACATTAGATCATTGTTCTTGACTCCATTAATGCTTATCATTAGAAATTAGTTGTTGCGTCAGTTTATTACGGTGACTTCCTTTACATTTTGTATGTTCTCACTTCTATGCCTTCTAGTGCTAAAACTGCATGTCTGGATTTTGATCCCTGGCGCTTATAGAAACCACACGTGAAATGTTTTAGGACTTAATTTACCATCAAATCTTGTTATATGAAGTAGAAAAGTTGTACAAGGCTTCTTTTTTAATGCTAAAGTGACTTACATTGTTACAGAACATTTCATATCTCAGTCAAATACTGAAGTATTAAAAGCAATATTTTTTGTCAATATTTGACCTTAATAATTTAGATTATATTGAATTTAAAGTGAAATTTGAAGCCTTAAGTTGAACTATCGTAGTAGTTTGTTTTTTTTTTTTTCAGTTTTCAAGAAGTAGGGTAAATCAAATGTGGATTCTAAATCACTCCAGAGACTTTTTGGAAATTTTAAAATCTCTCAACTTTTCAAACACCAGTAGCATCAAAACCTGTGACTTTTCTACGCTTTATATAACCATTCCTCACGATGAATTATAAAGAGCAGGCTTTTGACATCATAGACAACTGTTTCCTCAATAAAAGTGGAACTCGTATATTTTCATATCTTTGTTTGCTTTGTTTTACTTTAAAATAATTCTGATTCTACATACAAGTACTCTAAGTTGTTATATAAAAGATGCTAGAGTTCCTTATTGACATTATCTTTGTAGTCTTTGGAGACCAGGGCTGAGATTCATAAAAAAAATACCTAAGATTTGTGCTAAGATTCACACTTAAGTATAAAATAAATTCTTAGCTAAGATAACATTCTTAAGTCATATTCATGTAAATTCTAAGTGCAATTCTTAGCTAAGTTTAATTCTGGGAAAATTAAAGCACTTAAGTTAGGTCACCCTAGCATCGCATGGAAATTCCCGAACAAAAGGTGCACTCTTTTGTGATGAAGTACTTAGTTCCATGTGTATTACATCACAACTGATATGTACAGCTTTGTCATCAACATTGCACAATTACTTCTTACCAA